GACGAACCCCCAGCCATTGTTAGCTTTCCTGACCGGATTACGCTACTCACTGTAGCTCCCCAATTTCCTCACGATGCTGGGTTGGCACCGGTCCCATACACTGGTCAAAATCTCATGAGAAAATTTCTTCTCCCCCAAGACTCGAACCAGCGCGCATTCCGTATCGCCGGTCCGAAGCATGATGCCTCAGACCGCGCAGCTACGGCGCGGGACATTTGTATGTAAGATAACAGTATAAATTATATGTGAATGGAATGAAGTTGCATTTCTTTGGCTTGAGGTATAACCTATTTATTTGAAAGCTGCTGTAATGATTTAAATTAGTATAAAATTTTTATGAATGTAAAAGTAAATACCCATTTTCTCAGCCGTACATATGAAATTGTCTTTATGAAAACCCAAATGGGTAACAACTTATGCAGAATTGTAAGGGAAATTTATGTTAAACTAAGCAAGTTATGTGATTTGTCATCTGTGCAGCACATCAGGAAGATGCAACCTACTGGTCCATACACACTCTGTGGATACTCGTTTGGAGCTTGTGTAGCATTTGAAATGGGTCTACAGCTTGAGAAATTAAGTGAAAGGGTACAGTTGGTTTTGCTGGATGGATCACCTTCATATGTGGCAGCACATACTGGCAACTACCGTGCACGACATGGTCCGAAGCAAAGTGTACAAGATGAAGAGTCTGATGCACTCACATACTTTATCAGTCTGTTCAGTGATGTTGACTATCAGAAGGTGAGTGCACTTACAAATTTATTGCTCCTTTATGTTCTTGCTAACAAATAATGCAATGAAATAACAGATATGATGGTTTTTAAGCTTCGAAAGACTTGATATCATCACATTTCAGCTTTATTAGCATTATAATAACAATTATCAATATTTTACAACTTTCTCCACAGGCCACCATACTAGAATCTTGTAAAGTCATGTGTGTGTTTACAAGTATATGTATGTATGCATGCATATGGAATGTTCAAATTATTCAGTATACTTTATAGGTTTTACTTATATAAATCTGGAGTGAGAAGCTGATATTTGATCACATATGCTGTGGCAAAGTCTTTGTTTTGTGTGATACACAGAATTTGTTGTAATGCTGTAACACATACATTGCCGTAAGTTCAGTTATAAAATTCATAAATTGTACAGACAAAACAGCTACTTTCAAGTCTGGCTACATGGGAGGCAAGGCTACAACAATGTACAGACCTCTTGAAGGATGCAACGCCATTCCCTGCTGAGCAGCTAGCATTAGCTGCTGAGTCATTCTACTTCAAACTGGCAGCAGCTGACCAGTATCAACCCACAGGTCGCTTCTCTGGCACTGTCACGCTTGTCCGAGCAAAAGACAACTTTATGAATCTAGGTGATGACTATGGATTAACACAGGTGAGTTACTAAATAAGCCAGCTTACTGTTCAAACAATCATTCAGTTTCATGGATACTTTTTATGTACTATTTGTACAAATGAAATCAATGCTATGTAACCTCCAAAATTTAAATATTGTTCAGTAACATAAGGGTCTTCCCACAGTCACTTGAATCTGATTAAGTAATTAAAACCTATTCCTCTTTGTTTTATTTTTGCATTCTTTGCCATATTGACATGGTGTATCTTCATTAGTTCCCAGCTAATCTATATGACTCAGGATCCACTCTCTTTACTTTGTTGTCGTTGAATACTTACCATTCATTGTATTTAGAAGTGTGGGTTTTGGGGTCTATTCCAAAGGTTGTTCAGAGAACATAGTTTTGGTACATATCAGTTCAGAGAAGAGGGAGGGGCTGGAAAGAAATAAGATTGTGGGATACATTATTAAAGAAGTTTGGCTATGACTTATATCATAATTTGATGGAAATGTATTTGTAACTTTTTCATTTAGGTGTTTGTTTCCCAGAATACAAGAATAAACATTTTCTGATTGTATGGACTGTGATATTCAGCATGTAGCTTTGCAACAGTAAATTTATATCTGAAATAATGAACATTGCTGTATTAACATTTCCATTAATACACTGCTGTTAATCTAGGTCATTATGGAAAAACATGTTGCTGAGTTTTGTTTTCTTTCATGTAGGTGTGCAAAAAGAAGGTAAATATCCATGAACTCACTGGAGATCATAGGCAGATCCTGGTTGGAGATAGTGCCAAGAGGGTTGCAGATATCCTCAGTCATATAAACATGTAAAGTTTGGTAATACATAGATAGATGATGATGACTGATGGCAGAAATTTCAGAAGCTTCTCATTATCTGAAATGCAGAAGCTCAGAGTAAATTTGATACATTCCTCTTACCTGTATATTTATTATTGCAGTCGTCCTTGGTATTTTAGCATGATTGTTGGTATAGACAGCATCAGCAATGCAAAGTGCTAAAGTTTTAGCATGTGTAGGTGTATTGTTGAATGAGTTCTATAAGCATCACTTGCTGTCATTCTGTCAAAGGACATTACAATGCTAGAATTCTTTACAGAATAAAGAAACCAAAGATGTAACTTGAATATTTCAGTTATAGGCCAGTGAAAATAACAGATTTATTTAAAAAATGTGATCTAGTAAAGGAAGTTGTGATGTTACTTCCTTTCATGGCTAAATGAAAATGCTGCAGCACTTTTTCGAATACTGATTGGTTTTGTTGGTACTGAATATAGTACTTCACAATTATTGAATCATGTCTGTAGTAATGAACAGTGAAAGCATGGTAACATTTGCTTTTTATTTGATTTGAATTTTGGAGCTCTTATTTTTTGTACCTTTGTCAACATCCCAACATGTATATGCTATGAGGTAGGTTCTTCTAAAGGCATTCTCAACACAGTACTTGTATAATTGTTGCATTCAGCAATCCATTTTTATTGCTGCACATGACATCATTTAATTTGTTTGTACAGTACATCATCTGAATTAGTAATAGCAGCAGGTGTAGAAGAACAGTATTGATGAGTTTGTTCTTCTAATTATTTACATCATTATGTAGATAAACAATAACAGTGTCAGGAAGTTTATTACTATTTCATTTTGATGCATTGTACATTTGCAAAGATTTCACAGCTATTATTTATAATTTGACGTTCCTGGATATGCATGTGTGGATGTAGATGTGTATGTTTTTATGTGTATATGACTGAACAAATGGGTGTGTATGTTTACATATATTTTTAGGCATACAATTGTATCTAGATTTCATGTATATGAAACATTGTCTTGTCCACTTCTTTATAGAATTATTATGGTCAGTGCACATTAAAATGTTCCTTTCTTCTTCCTGTATTCTCAACTACTAAATAATAGCACTTTCTTTTAAAATGTTTGTTATTCTTTTGTGTTCAGTCTGAACTCTCGAATATTAATTTCATCATACTTTTAGGTCCAAGTAAATGACTTCATCAGATAAAGAAATTTATAACCACTGTATCCAATTTAGTCAGTCGTACTGCATTTATTTTCTTTATTAATTCAATGAAGAAGAGTGATTTTTACTGTACAAAGGAAATAACTTCTGATGAAAGTTGTGTAATTAAATTATTAGTAGTGAAAATAATGGAATAGGTTATACAAAAAGTATTGTTATTCTGGAAACAAACATACTGTTGGAAGAAAAGAATAGCTGCTAATCCATGGTGTTTTTGGTATTTTGTGATGTGGAGAAAATTCCTGTAGTATCAAAATAGTAGTGATACTTGTTCATGTGATAAGTCTTCTGTTCCGTTCCTCCTTGGTAGTACATATGTGTATATCCCAGGGCTTACAGGTTTTCTTCACATTGGTCATCTCTCTCCATTACAAGGAAGACGTATCATATAAGTGTAATTTATTTCAACTCATGTTGTAAATATCTTCTTGCAGTTGCAGTAGTATGTGATCTAGAACAAAATGTTTATGTAAATTGTTTAGGGGTTTTGTTTACTTATAACAAATTATTATAATGCATTTCCTGGTGTGACTGTTCTATATGTAGATTAATTCAGAATATTTAAAGAAACTAGAACATTCTCTCTCATGTGATATTGCAAGAATAAATGTGATAATTATATGTACATATGTTTCTGGTAATACCTTTGTGGTGTTTACAAATAAACAAAGACATGATGTATGTAACTTTTCTCTACATAATCTTGGTATAGTTTTATTCACAACAACACAGGAGCAGATGGGAGCACACAAGAATATACATAGCCTAAGGGCTTGCTTTATTTTATGAAATGTATGGTTGTATAGAAAGGGTTCAGTGTAGTTTGGTTTGATAACTTTCACAATGTCCCCTATTTCATTGAAGTACGAACACAAATTCTAATTGATTTTTACATATTTTTAAAAAATTTGCTACAGCCGGAGGTGGAGACTGCTGAAAAGGCCAGGATATTCCTTGTGATTAGGTTAAAATATAAATCGAAATATTGTGATGAATAAAATACCACGCGAAAATTCTTTTACATGTCTGTAAAATTAATTACAAAATCCAGATTTATAAAATTGTCGCGTTATGTAATGCATGTTAGGGCAGGAGTTGAATTCAATGTTTTAAAAATATTGTATAGCATAACAAGAACATGTAAAACCAGGGAAATATTTCTCCTGGCAGCGCCATATATACCTGGAATTGTTCCAGAAGAACTTCAGATAAAGATTTCTGACTGAATTATGTCAACTATTTTGCATTTCCATACGTCGCCGTTCTACACCCATAAGAAACAAGATTAGAAATTCTGACAGTGACCTTTGAAAACCAGTTCGATAATTTATTGAAGTTTCATACGGATTACGACACTGTTGCAGGCATTTAGAATGGTCGATTAACAGCAACACTATACGTTATTTGTTACTTTCTGATACACCCCATTTGAAGTATTTTTATCGTCCGCCAGTAAAATTAAATTTCAGTGTACCAATTTAGCCAACATTTCAAAGTTATATAAAGCATGTCTTCTGCACAGCTGAGTGGATACCTAACCTGAATTTCAGTATTCATATTATACTGTTGCGGTATGTTGTTTTTCAGACTGTCTTGCCAACATTTGTTACGGACTGCGTATGGGAACAGTGTAGCATTACCCCGACAACAGTTTGTAAAATTGCAATTTCACACTAGTGTGTTACGTAGTCTGAAAGAGCAGCAGAATGTCAAAGAAACTGCAGGATGGACGGAAAGACAAAAGAAACTGAGGTCTACAGTACATTATGTAGTCGCAACAGCAGTTCTTACAATCGGATTGAGTTATGCGGCTGTACCATTATATAGAATGTTTTGTCAGGTATATTTGAAGTACAGATATGGTATGGTGCCCACAAACCTAATCTGACCATAGTTCATAATTGCAATTTGCAATGATCCATCCAAGCCAGACAATAATTTATGTTGCTGCCATCATCATGTGATGTTCTCAGGTGGTCACTGATTTAAACTAATGAGACTGTTTTATTATTTTGGTAATCCTTTCTCTTTGCTTGTGTTGAAGAGAGATACAGCCATGATTTATTCAGAGAGAAGCTTGGAATAGAGCTGGATTTTGGTAGCCTCCATATTTATATAGCTCCAATATTTTGATATCCTGTATAGGCTATTTATATGTTGGATAGGAGTAAGGTGGCTCAAGGTGATACTGTGTTCTGCTACAGCTGACTTCTCAGGTGACAAAGCCAATACCTAGAGAACTATGGTTAATTATGTTTGCTTCAAGGCTTACAGTTACGGAGGAACAACAGCCATTGGGCATGATGCTGATAAGGTTGAGAAAATGTTGAAAGTACAAGATCGGGTCATTAGTGTGAGGTTCAATGCTGACACAGCGGCCAGCATGCGATGGAACTTCAGGCCACAGCAGGCTGAGATAAAGGTAATCTAACTAGTTCAGTATTATGACCAGTCTGCTCTGGCCTAAACATATCCCAGAAATGGGGCTTGAAGTTGTGTACTGAATTGGGTCCTATACAAGGCTTTGATGATAACAATGATAGATCTTCATGTTCCATTATAAGGAATATCTCTATTGCCTGTACCTTCTGTACCAGTTAAATAAATATTAACAAATTTATTGATTTTTAGTCTATATGATGGTTATTTTTTATCTGCAGAGGTTGTGTAGTTACAAATAAAATTGGAAGATTGTTATGAATAGTGAGCATGCAAGAATTTGAAAGGTGGCAGTTACGAGCTATTTCAGGCTATTATCTCGGCATACATCAGGATGGGCTAAGGAAATCTATGAAAAATATCAGTTGTGATAACCATAACTGGACTGACATTCAAACAAGGTGTCTCATGAACTTATGTACTATTGTCTACTCCAGCTTGCCTAGTTTGCTTTCATGTACACGACTTACTTTTTATATAAAATCAGTGTCTGGTAGCATAGATCTAATTTTATATTCTCAATAGTAATAAATCCTGTTTTCATTGTTTCATTTGATGGTACCAATTTTTTGTATCTAATAATTTACTGTTTCCAGGTTGTTCCTGGAGAAACTGCTCTGGCATTCTACACGGCATGTAACCCAACAGACGTTCCTGTGACAGGAATCAGTACATACAATGTTATCCCATTTGAAGCTGGACAGTATTTCAACAAAATCCAGTGTTTCTGTTTTGAGGAACAGTTACTGAACCCACATGAACAAGTAAGATTAAGGGAATCAAAAGTTGGGAAATGCATGGTTTTCTTGGTGACTGTAATAAATGCATTAAAGTTTATTTTCCTGATTGCTTTTTATTTTTCAGTTTTTTGCTAGAGCTACTCTGTTGTGTATCTTCTAGTATCTGGCTGAACTAATATTTAACTATTCTTAAAATTTATTTTCTGTTCATTTTCCTGATTTCTTTATCTCTGAATCCTTTGGAAAATGTGTGTACTATATTGGAGTGCACCTTTCCACTCTTGGTTGTCAACTTCAGTATGTTGTAGTGTAAAGTGTAAGACACATTTCATTTCAGGTGGATATGCCAGTATTCTTCTATATTGATCCTGAATTTGCAGAAGATCCTAAGATGGAGACAGTCGATTTACTAACACTGTCATATACTTTCTTTGAAGCAAAGCCAGGATTGAAATTGCCCGTTCCATCATTTGTGAAGGTGAAACAGTGATTGGCCAAGGTTGGAATGCAGTCGAAGGTAGCACTGTGGTAAGATGGGATTTTGAAGTTTCTGTACCTTAAACATTATGTAGAAAGTGCTGGAATTTATTTACAGATAAAGCATGCATGTCCCTGATCTACTTCAGTGTGATAAATTCTACAAACAATTTTTTTTTTCAACAAAATTACAGTAATTGTAATGTAACATGATCATGTAAAATGTTCATGTATCAGAGGTTTGTCTCCTGGGTATCTGAAAACTTTATGTACACCTATAGAAGCTCATATGTCTCAGTCATTCAGCCACCATCTTCTTTGCTACTTATAACAATGTAGTGATTTGAATGAATGAGCAATATAAAATGTTCTGTAATTCCTACAAACCCTTTTCAGTATTGATTTATTTCAGCATTGGGATAGGTCAGTCAGTAAAGTGATATCAGAATACAGGATGTGTTGCACTCTCAGATTTGCAACACTGCTGAATCCCAGCCCTCAATAAATTTTTATAGGTAGGGGTCATCCAAAAATTTGAATCCAGGATGGAGATCTAAAAAGAAGTCAAATGTTTTAGTCAGTAGTTTTAATACACATATACATTGTTTTTACAGAAATGTCACACTGACAGAAGATGTATCTCAGTAGTTACCTCTATAAGTATAGTACCGTTTTGTCAGTGCAAGATATCTAATAAAATTCAACAGGCTTTCACTTCACTTCTGAAGCGGCTGTTCAAAGTATTGTTCAGTATGTATCTAGAGCGAGGTGTTTTATCAGTAATACATAAAATCAGCTTCAAATCACTTACCTATATCAGTGAGAGTGTTGTAACTTCTCTGCAATTTATGATATAGTTTGGACATAAAGATATACTGCATTTCTTATCAGTTGAAGCTTTGATCTGCATAAATATAAGCCATGAATTTTAAGTATTTTATTCATGAATAGAAAACCTTTAGAAAATGCAAGGTACCACAACATCTTGGAACCCAGGAATTGTTGCGTGCTGACTGGAACTGATGCAATACTATTGGATGAATTTGTGTAAGATCTGAGAAAGAACATGAAAGTGTACATTGTGTAAAGCACTGTCAAAGCTAAGTTGGTGAAGTTTCAGAACACTTAATACTTTTTTAATTCCTTAGAATAGCTTTAAAATTGTATGCTATATTGTTTAAACAGTGCTTCATAAAAAGCTTATGTGTACAGCAGGAAGTGTACATAGAAGTTTGAAAGTATAACATTACAATAAACTCTAATTAATAATATATCAACAAAATTACAATTATTTAGGACTATAAAATCAATGTAACTCTAATTACTGCAGTAAATAACATTATACAAACATTGTAATAAAGTTCTTAGTTGTCTGCATTGATCTATGATATATTAACACTAAACATCAACATTCTTTTAAAAAGAATTTTCGACTGCAGCTTCCAGTAATCTGCTTTGTCCACATAATGTTCCATTTTTAACAGTGAATCACAACTTCATCTTCAGAAGTTATTTTTGATTATAACAAGTTTTCAAATTTCATCATGTTTTTGTACTGCTTTCATACACAGTTTATATGAGCGTGATCTGAAGAAAGTTCGCACAGCATAAAATTTGTTAACCAAACACTGATATATATTGTTGCCTGCAAGGGTAATCTTCAGATCATAGTTGGTAACACTGCTTCATGCCAACTAGTGAACATTGCTTGTACATACTATTTCACCAAGATGACTCAGTTGGACCAGACATCCAACAGAGAAGTCCTCGCATTTGCATAATTTCAATATGAAAATACTGCTTCCAGCCTTGATTTGGCATTGACCTGTTATCATCTTATTTCCAGATTTGAAAAAACATATGGGATACACAATATTTAAAAGTGTCGGTGATGCAGAAATAGAAGTGGAACAACAGATGAAAGAACTGGACATTAATATTTATTGTCAAGAGGACAAAACACTCGACTCATGGCATGATGAGTACCTGATGGTTTATGTGGACTCTGGAAAGAGAGTTTACAATTCATACATTGATATACCATTAGTACTGAAGTTACAGCATATATGCCATATAAACTTAGTTTCTAGCCACTCCTTACAGGTTATTTCATATTTCTGTATCTGGACATTAGATATGCCAGGTTTTGAAAAAATCTCTTTCAAGGGCCAACATACCAGTTCATGTTTGGTAAAAATAAATGGTGTACTGTTCAGAACTAAAACACTCATAAAGCTTTTTTTAATTGTTTGTCTACAATCAGATTTGAACATGGAACGTTTAAATCAGTGCAGTGAACAACGCATCATGGAAAACTGAAAGCCTACACCAATGCAGCACAAATAATACAGCGATAAAGTGAATAATAATGCTGACAATTACTTCTTGCTCGTTAACAGAAAGTTATTAGACTGCTTATGCTTCACAAAATTACACATTCTCTTTCAAATATTACTTCTACATAATTTGGTATCTACTTTCAGTTGTTATTATGTGTTCCACATGAAAAATTTTAAACATATGGTTGAATAATATATAACTGCACAATTTAAATGAGTATCTGTGCAAATACAAGTACAAAAGAGAAAAGAGAATCATATGTGAGTCAAAGTTGCATACTGTCAGTGCATCAATGCTAGTGTGCTTTGCTACCAACTCATGTACCAATAAATTCATCTGTCCAAGCAAAATATAATGGTCAACTTTGTTTTGCTCTTAAACCTAGTCACACATCTTGGAGAAGTCTTCAGCCTTAATGCTTTTTTTTTTAATTACAAATTCTTGGTTTCAAGTAGTTGTACTAAAAGTAAAATAATGTCACTACAAAACTCCTTTGTCTAATATTTTAAAGTGGCGCTGATGGGGAAACTGCGACGCATGCCCAAACATTTTTCTCTGTCAATGAAGAGGGAGTTCACTTTGATCTGCAGCTCTGTCTCCAGGTTGGACCGTGTCTTGAGTAGTTGTTGATGTTGTGCCTCTGCTTCCTGCAGCTTCCGATGCAGGTGCTCAATGCTCTCGCCAATGTCTTGCACCTCTTTAACCAACCTGTGTCACCACCATGTGTTATTTATGTGAGTGAATCTGAATCATTTTTAGCCTACTTTACAAGGAAAAGCAAGTGAGATTTAAGATTTTCACAGCATTGTGTATGAAGATAATTGACTTCTGGGATGTTGCACCTGGAGCTTCTTGCATCCATCATCAGAGTGGTGGTCATCACACTGGTGATAGAAGCAGTAAGCTCCTCTGAAATGTTAGTTAGTATCTACCAGACTACAGGGTGCAACATCCCAGAAGACGGTCATCATCTTCAAGGAAAAGGAGGAGGACATTTGAATCAATTGACTGACTTCCATAAAACTTGTTAGGAACACACTGCTTGAGGCCATTCCACATTTTTACATTTGAAATTCAGCTGCTAATATCAGTATGGTGGCCAATAAACTTCTGAGATAGGAGTGACAATACTGCTTCATCTGAAACTTTACACAGTTGTAAGTTATTATTTTTATTGTTAATTTGACTCTCAAATGTACCTGGTTTGTGCACCATCCCTGCACAGTTCGACATCACGACGATGTGACCGTGCTTCAAGACGACTATGTGCCACCTTCAGGGGATTGCTCTTGTCCATGATAGCTTTGTGTAACAGTTCCATATTCTTCTTGACATCAAATATCTCTTGTTGGACCTGAAGATAAAATATCTGAATTATTTGCTGGTTAAAAGCAGGAATAATGCTTCTGTTAATTAAATGAACTGCTCCATTGTTCTTATACATCCAACAATTGAATACTGTTTATAGACTATACGCATATGCATATAGGAAGCCTATGATTTAGATGGGAAAATGTTATACGACATTCTCACTGAATTTGGTATGCACAAAGAAACTAGTTAGTCAAAACTTACAGTAAAGTCTGTATAGGTAAACATCTGTTTGATGCATTTCCTTTTCACAGTGGTCCAAAACAAGGAGATGCATTGTTTTTAAACTTTATTTTAGAATACACCACCAGGAATGTTAATGAAATCAAAGAGGTACTGGAACTTAATAGCTTCTAGTGTATGCTAATAAATCCTTAAAAATATGGCAAAGTTTAAATATTTGGGAATGATAGTATCAAATCAAAATAGCATTCACAAGAAAATTAAGCACTGACTAAATTCTTGCAAATGCTTGTTACCATGCATTTCAAAACTTCCATCTTTGTGTCTGCTATCTAAAATTGTTGAGGTTAAAATATATAACATCTATAATTTTACTTGTTGTTTTGTATGGGTGTGAAATAATGTCTCACATTAAGGGAAGAACACACATTGAGGTTGTTTGAAAACAGGATGCTTAGGAGAATATGTAGATTTAAGAGGGATGAAGTGCCAGGAGGGTGTAGAAAATTACATAATGAGGAACTCCATAACTTGTAATCTTCATGAAATATTATTAGGATGATCAAATCAAAGAGTAACAGATGGACAGAGCATGTAGTATGCATTAAGAATAGATAGGAGGATACTATTAAAATAAATCTTGAATAAATAGGGTTGGAGGGTATGGATTGGATTCATCTGGCTCAGGATAGGGACAGGTGGTGGGCTGTTGTGAACCTTTGGGTTATGTAAAATGTGTGAAACTTTTTGACTAGCTGAGTATACTATTAGCTTCTCAAGAAATACCCTCCTTATTGTAGTTAGTTAATGGTACTGTTTTTCAGTTATTTCCTGCTTACCTTGTGGAGGTGCATCTGCAGCTTAGCTTTAGCCTCCAGAATCTCTGAAGCTCTTCTTGACAGGGCACTGTTGGTGGCATTCCATGCATTCCATATATCATTGACACTTTGATTGATGAGACTGTCTGCATCAGTTCGGAGCTGTGTTGATTTTGAACGCTCATTCTGTGATCTCTGGATAATGCGGTTGCTGTTCTCTGCCCAAGATTCAGGCACATTTACACTGAACACACAAAGTAAACCAGGACTGAATTTTGTTTCAAAGAGAAGTATGTGGTGCGGTGGAAAAAAATGTTTCATGGTTAATTTGAATGCATGAAATATGAAAAGGAAAGAATGTTTGTCATTTTTATCTATAAGCCATTATTTAACTGTACTTACGTAGAATCAAACTTCTCAATGCCACCATAGTAGTTTATTCCACGTGAGAAATTATTAAGTTGGTGGCACATGTTGTCAATGCCGAGGGCAGATTCCTTGCTCTTCAGATCCCATTCCAGTTCATGCTGTCCTGCCCGATTGTTTCGCAGCTTGTAGTGTAATTAAAAAGTAATAAGTTTTATAATATATTGAAATAATTTTTAAATATAAGCAGCAAACATACTGTTGCAATACATTCTCATGACCTGTTCTAGGACAACTACCTACACATACATGCACACACAATGACATGTGTTCAGCCAACTCCTAAAAGATTGTGTATATTACATATATTTCAAACAGTGAATGGTGTGCAACATAATTTCAGCATAAAGACATTTTATTAGAATCAATATAGTAACACAATGTTACTCATACTTGCTGTATGGCTTTCTCATGCATTTTTTTTAGACGATCTTGGCAGGCATGAAGATTCTCCACTTCATACAGTAGGGCTTGTTCCACTTGGTCGTGTACCAGATCAATTCCTGCACAAAGAGAAATTTCAGGTGGTGGCTGTGAGATCAACCAATTGGAAATGCAGTAGAAGTGATCTGCTTTGGTCTAGAATGCATGGAGCTTAACATCCAAACCTCTTATACTCTGTCATGTCCTGGTAATTAGACACAACAATAAATTTCTATTTAGACTGAAAATAAAGTTTTGAGGAATATACTGTATTTATGAGAGAGAGTGTTGGGAATTCAGGATATAATTTATTAATTTATAATTTATTATTCATTATAACTTGTGCAGCATTCTTACTGTTATAATAATTAACTAAGAAGATTCTGTTAGGTTGATTATGTAGCTGAGATTATTCAAACCAGAAATGCATTCAGAGTTTTGATGGGAAAACCTCATGGAAATTGGCCACTTGGAAGACTGAATTGGAGAGGGAGAATAATAATGGAATCTCTGTTTAACAAGTTTTGAGGATGGGAGGTGAATGGGACTTGTTCAGGATAATGTTCAGTGGTCAACTTTGCTGTCAGAGGTGTCAGGATCTTTGTGTTATCTTATTGCTGAGTTAAGTTAATATTTAAGTAGTTACGTAGAAATCTTATTAACAAGCAAGTGGACGGAAAGTATTTATTTAATTTTTGTGGGTGACACAAATAGAGGTAGAAATAATGTTGCTCATCCCCCACTTGAAACTTATCTTTATATGACTGAATTTTCAGGCTTGGTCATGGCTTATGAACTATACAAGTTTGCAACACCTTATGAAACTAAACATATGTTTGCATACTTGGAAGTCTATTTCAGAATCATTTGTTATATTAGCAGTGAGAAGTCACTGTGTAATTTGCCCACTATGATTATAAAATGTTGAAACCTAATTCTGTATACTACTGCTCAAGACTTATGTTCAGCTGGTACATTCCCAATTATTCTGACAGGTTATTCATGTTTTTTCTCAGAATTTCCAGGCAGATGCCAGGACGGTTATTTTAAAAAAAAACATGACCACCTCCTTAAAACCCTTATCTAATAAATTATTATCACTTTATTGTCAAATTCAGTGCCATATAACTCTTACAATTTAAAACCATAAATAATATCCTTGGAATGGACTGTAATAAAATGTATTATAGCATTACTGGAACCTATTTTTGCTCAGGTTATTCCAGACCTTGCCTGTTTTCACGTTGATAGAGACATTCTTGAGCAATATGCAGCGGGCCCTCAATGTCCTGGATAGCTTTTTCCAGATCTCTTCGTTTATCCTGGAGTAGGTTACTCTCTGCAATAATTCGTTCCAATTCGGTTGATATTTCATTGCGCCAGAAGGTAGTATCAGTGATGCGTTCACCCAATCGGCGACCAGATTCACGCTGACCAGTTATTGTCTTCTCATCTGTTTCTCTGACAACATTTAAATTAAATTTCAGATTAGTATGTGATGATAACTTTGTTATCAACTGCACTTCAGCTTCTCAGCTCTGAACATTCTTTTGTCAGTTACCTCTGAATATTATGGTAATTGCTCCATTTATTAAAAGAGATATCTTGGTTTTAAACTACCCCTCAAATTGCCTCAAGTAGGTGAGATATAACCTGACAAATCAAACATAACCTCAACTTTTGTCACCCCTAAAAATAATTTCTCATCACCCATTTTTTTTAACCATCATTACCAATTGGACAGTAGTCTTCTCTTCCACTCCAACAATTAAATTTGTAACATCCTACTCACTACCTGCTGCCAGTCTTCCAGAAATGTCCAACCAGTAACATTCACACTGAAGATGGCAATTGCAGTGTTTACCAAAACGGATAACTTTCAACATTTGATGTGGCATATCACCGAAAGCTAAAGTTTTACATGACTCACTAATCTTAAATAACCAAACCAGATATAACTTAATTATGCCTATCCTAACCCAGTCAACCTAGTATACTCATCCATGGCTAACACAAATTAATGTTAATTGTATAATAGTGAGGGTTATAGGATAAAGTGTAAATTTTCTTTCTGGCAGTTTTATTTTAGAGAGCTCAAAACAACTGATTATAGGAATGAAATATAAAGTTTTTGAGAACAAAACAATGTGTAAATGCTCTTCAAATCAAGCATTTAAAAGTGTACAAGCAGGGTTCAATTCCTGGCAGGCACAAGGATTTTTATTTTCACCACTATGTCCAGACTGTCCATCAGACTTATGTAGCTTCTTATTCACCACTGAGGACTCTTTCTCCAAAGTTAAAGCAACCAGAGCATGAAGCTGACCACTCATCACCATGTTGTACTGATATAAGAATTTGTGGAGTGATACATTTATTACCCCAAATATCTTGTATTGGTGTGTAAGCACAGAGACAATACTTTCTTTCTCATCTTTATCTTGTTATCAACAGTTAGCATTGTACTATATTTACATTTTTAATAATATATTTATGTCTGCAATAAATTAACATTGGGAACAATGATGAATACAGTGTTTCAAGAATTTCATTTGAAAGTGCCACAATTTTTAATGTTTGTTTCTCTGTCAATACATTTACACATATGTCCAGAAGGCTTACTTCAAAACAGATTTAGAGAGCAGGAGTTTAGTACATTACATTTGTGGCTTCAAAGGAATGAAAATACTAGTTTCAGTTTGTACATTAAAATACCTTACAAGTTTTGTAATTTTCCATACATTGTTGGCCTTGACCTTAGTTTATTACAAAACTAATATAAATATATTATTGTAAAGCCAGTCATGCTACAGATACCATAATGCATAAAATGAGAAGTTGCTTTTCCTTGTATTACAGTATTTATTCACAATACAAAAATATTTCAAATAAAGTTGTTGATCTTAATGTAATATTATTTTGTATGACATCCCAGTTTTTAGTGTGATGAGTCCGTTTTGAGAAAATTGATAAAATTTGGTGTGGACTTCATGTAATATGGTTGTTATCCAAAATTACATTCTCTGACAACTTTTAGTTTAGACCTCCAACACCAAATATCACTGACATTCTGACATGTGTTACAGTAGTTCTGGAGATGAAAAATGTAAATGAATGGATAGATAGACATAACATCCCCATTATAAGTTCATTTTATACACTTCATGCAAGGAACACACAAAACGTGCAAATATAAACATAATTATTTGCTGTATTTATGCTCTAAAGTCAAATCATTATTGTAGCAAGAACATTTTTTCTCAGAAAAGTTGTACTATACAAATAACTTACCTCATGACCCTTATGGCATCTCCACGGAGTCGCTCAGAAAAATTACGGTTTGTATCTGCTTCATTGTAATGACTAATGTTACTTTGTGTCCACTCATATGGTGTGTAGCGTGTGTAAAGTGCAGCACGAGCAGCATGTGCTGGGTTACGTTCAAAGCTAGTCACAAGATTGGGAAAGCAAAGTGGTTCCATGGCCCTGCCACTGGGTGTACGACATGGGTCCATCAATGCATTTTTGACTGGTTGGCAATGGCTGTAAGGAAACGTGTCATACTGTACATAAATTAGTTACAGTGTTAGAAAATACCATTGTTTCATTTGCTAGAAAGAAAGGTGCTTGTAGTTTGATGTAATGAATGGATGGTGATATGTTTTTAATATTTTGATAAGCAATTATTGGAAACTGAACTTAATTTTAAGACAAAACGGATTTTATTATTACAGACTCCATTATACCCTAATTTTTGATAGTAGGTATATAAGTATTTACATACAGCAGAACTTCATTACATCATCAAGGTTAAATCAGCTAGTCAAGATATTACCTGCTTTTATAGAAGCCAAAGGTTTATTACCATATTCACAAAGGCCTGCCATTTGTCCCTGCTGTGAGCCAGTTGAACCTCTCACTGTAAGTACCAGTATGTGTACAAAAAGATTTTCCTTCTGGGAACTCAGTAAAATTCTGATGTGAAAAATTTTTGTGAATAGGCAGTGTTGAGAACAGGTCACACAGAATATCTGTCAGTATCCAGTGAAAGTGTAGCACAGATTCCCTCTGCCCTTCATGTTTTCCAATGAAAATTTTGTATATATTTTTCAGCTCCCATTTGTGCTACATAATTTGTAGTGGGTGAGTACTTACAGAGGAACAACTTCAGTATTCTCATACCCCAGTGTAGGTCTCCATGGATGTTGCAGTGCTTGGTAGTAGTTACCATTTCTAGTTGGAAGAGAGTGTCCTGATACTTGTTCCATGCATGGCAGGGCACCTACTGTAGTCAAAGGCTGCAGTTGCTGCAATGTGATACCAACCAAAAGCAAACTTAAGACCATTTAAATACACAAAGAATTCCATTTCTTTTGTCAATAGATAATGTGACTGAACAGTATGCAGTCTACCATCAGCAAACCAGTTGTTCATTGTTGCCAGCCTGAGGGTATAGTACATGATGAAACAAATAATAATAATAATAGCATTTAGAGAAAAGCCAATTCTGATGCATGCAAATGGTGCCCGCGAGGCCTCAAAAGGCGTGAGGTCCTGGGTAGTCACCTGCACCCACTTTGCTGCCACTGTCAGCAAGTGATGCATATATTAAGTTATATAATACAAAAAACAGAAACATCGACTTACCGAATACATAATTTGGTCTTGTCGAATCATTTTGAGCAATGTTTAATAGATCTCGGAAACTGAAATGGGTTTGAATTATTAGAGATTAATAAATTATTTTTTCCAAAGCCGTAATTTGTTTGTAATTTCCTCCTATTTGGTAAGGCTGTCGTCATGGCAACGCAAAACAACATGCATTTGATTTCGTAGTTTTACTAGAGATGTCGTTCTCATTCGCCGTGAACATTGAACTTATGGTGGATCTGCTTGAATTCGTAAAATATGGAGGATGTTCCCGCTGAAGCACCAGAACGTAAGTTTGTGATCGATGTTGTTAACAAACGTTGTTAATAGAGACTTTTAGATACTATTCACTGATGGATAACAACTGTGGTTTAAATTTGATGAGGAAGTAAAAAGTGTATTTTACCTAACCTTTGTAATCGGGATTTTCCGGGTTAGATTCTTGGCTGGGAGGTGGATTACAATAACTGTTCTTGATTTTCGTCAGTATCGACAGAAAACATTTAGGATATTCTTCAGGACAAGGTACAACGGCTTTCTTCCACGTCCTTACAGATTAAACTTTCAGTCACCCATCCTACAGACTTTCCATTAATTGTTTTGCCAGTTTTCTTGTTTCTGTTATTTATTCTGTGCATCGTTCGGCTTGCTTTCCTTCATTTAGTAGTCTGAAGCATGAAGCAGTAATGCTTAAAATAGTTCTGTATGTTTACAGATTGCCCTGGCACTCAGAGCGAATCTGCTGGAAAAGTGTCAGCATGTCAAGGTTGTCCAAACCAATTGATATGTTCATCAGGTGCAGCAAGAGGACCCGATCCAGGTTGTTATTATGAAGTTGTTCAAATGAAACTTGTTTGGGATTGTTCTGGGCAAAGGTGTACAGGCTATTTAAAATAGCCCCCTTGGGCAATGAGGCAGTGATCCCATTTACATACCAGCGAATGTATTCCCTCAGTAAAGAACTACCTGTGCTGTTGCAGAAACCACTGTACCACCTTGACTTCTAACTGTGTCACGCTGTTCCAATTTGCTCTAATGCACCCATTCTCTTATGAATCTCATGGTTATGTGCTGGTGTGTCATGTACATGGCCATGTGATCATGTGAAAGCAGATGTATTTACTAACAGCACTCTGAATGTGTTTCCTATGAGCAACCCTCATAGTTTCAGATTCTTGGTTAAAGTATAGGATTCAGTGTTGATTCCTCACCTTGTTACTGAAGGTCCAATTGTAAATGTGATTAGAAATGGGAATAACTGTGCAATATGTTGTCTGTGCACCTGTCTCTCTTGAGCATGCTCACATATGACATCTTCTGCCAGACTTGTTTAATAATTTTCAATGTTATGCATGTCTACTAGACCAAACATAAACAGAAAGTAAAATAAATAAAATCAAACTAGTACATGTTTAGTGTTGCTGATACGACAGTAGATGTCTGTTATTTTGTGATTACAATATCATCAAGCATACCATTTTTAATACATTTTAAGTTTCATACCTAACAGTCAGACTGTTGTGTTGTTTTGTTCGTAGGGATTGAACTAGTCCGTAAAAGAATGGAATCTGTAAAATATAAGATTCTTATCTTGTCTGGGAAAGGTGGTGTGGGGAAGAGTACTTTCACATCATTGCTTGCACGTGGACTGGCTGCAGCTGATTCTGATAGAAATGTGAGTGTACCTTTCCGGTGATTTTTATTTGCAGGAAAACATAACTTTAGTAGAGCTTGAATCTAACCTAAAATGGGAGCAACTTTATAATTGGTGAGATTTCAGGTTTTTGCAGTGGCAAGTATGAAGATGACTTTCTTCTGCGACGTAGCACCATGTAGTCTGGCAGACGTTTACTAACATTTTGGGCGGTGCTTGCTACCTCATTGAGTAGGTACCTTTGCCTGAAGATTGAGACAAGCTAACCTTTTAAATATTATCCAGACAGGAGACTTCTAAATAAAATTCTTCCATAACAAATTGGGAAGCTGACAGTTACGTCCATTTAGTACCTTCATGGGACATTATGTAGGTTCCTATTAGCATTGAAGGTATATGATGGTGAGACACAGGGACAACTTTATCTTTACCTCTATACTTTGTGTGTTTATGTACAGGTGGCCATTCTAGATATCGACATCTGTGGACCTTCAGTTCCACGTGTGATGGGTGTTCTGGGTGAACAGGTCCACCAAAGTGGTTCAGGATGGTCTCCTGTTGTAAGTTAACCTCTTTTTGTAAGATATAAAGTAAATAATCACCATTTGGAATTATAAGGGATTTTGTTGAAATAACATTGCAGTATACACAGGGAGATGAAATTTGGTTATAAGGGTGTATCTTTATTATGCCATATGCAGTAAGTTAACAGTAAGTTATTTCCTGTTTGGTCCATCATGAACCCAGCTTTATTTGAAGTTCAAATTGAAGTTTTTAAATTTCTCAAGAATAAATAAATGACCATTAAGAACTAAAACTTATATCTGAAATATTTGTCATTGTGATTTGTATTTAACAGAACACAGAATGTATATAATTATGGTAAATATTTAATAGTGTTGGAGAAAATGCCTTTGGAGTGTAGTTTCACTCCTTCTGATGAGCTTTTTGAGTAGCAGGTTTATTTGTGTAATAAATGAATGAAAAGTAGAGTGTTTATACAGCAGTATTAAACTGAAAAGAATGAATTTGCAAATTCTTTGTACTCTGAAATTGAATATACCTTTCAACTTGTCTTAACATTTCAAAAGTCAAGTCTTATTTAAGTAATCAGTAACAGTTCAGTTTCTGCATCCTGTTGGTCATAAAGGTACTGATTGTGACATTAAGCTACTGAATGTTGACCTTTATCTACAAAGATAGACAATTTAAGACCCTGTACTGCAGGTCTGCTGGCCCTGGAATTTATTGATTTAGTAGCCTGTTGCTGTGATACACAGCCAGCTGAACTGTGCATTTGCCATGACATATGACAGATAGAGGTTAAAGAAGCAGCAGTATGCATAGTTGTCATTACCATATAAAGGGTTAAAGATATTTCAGCTGATCTCATTGAAATATTTTGTGTATCTCTTGCAGTATGTGGAGGATAACTTGTCTGTTATGTCCATTGGATTCCTACTATCAAGTCCAGATGATGCAATCATATGGAGGGGACCAAAGAAGAATGGTGTGTTCCCATCTCTTCTATACAAGATGTAATCAAAGAATTTCTAGACTGGTTACAATGTGACACTACTGTAGTTGGTACAGAGGTACCAATACAGTCTGCTGAATCTTATTCTCTTATTGCAAGACTGTAGAATGTGTCATTCAGAAGTGATGCATCATGAAGTAATGTCACATGTAATGCTATCTTTAGCAGAATTGATGGACTCACTGCAAGGTCCCGAGAAGACAATATGGAATAGCTACTAAGTGTTTTGAGTATAAAGAAATGATTCAGTCTAGGAATCTTTTGATAACACTAAACTCAGCTTTGTTATTAACATCAAGTTTATAATCTGCACATTTCTTTCTGTTTTTATCTAATCCTGTATAGCCAGCTAAGGATCTTATAATTCTTATTTTTATTACTTATATTCTTCTTTTCTCTGTGTTGCCTCATATCCAAATGACATACTGAGCTCAGTTTCGTCTTTTCCATTGTCTGGCGTAGGCATGATCCGACAGTTCTTGAGCGAAGTGGACTGGGGTGTGCTGGACTATCTTGTGATAGATACACCCCCAGGAACATCTGATGAGCATCTATCAGCAGCACAATATTTGTTAAGTGCTGGACTGACAGGCGCCATCATACTGACAACACCACATGAGGTGGCATTGCTAGATGTGCGAAAGGAAATAGACTTTTGTCGCAAAGTCAACATTCCTCTGCTAGGTGTTGTAGAGAATATGGCAGCTTTTGTATGTCCAAAGTGTAAGGTATGTTAATAAAATTAAACTAAGCTAGGATGGTCTGAATCATGATAATTGTTGGTATCTCTATGTTTGTATTCCTTTAATCCAATTGCTGTGCATTATTTTTTTACTTCTTGGCTTCAAGAATGTAATTTTAGGTTAAACATATGAACTTACCTTGATGTGGAAGTTAAGGAACTCATTCTGTAACATGAGTGTCTCAGTCTCCATGGGAAATACGTAGAAAAATTAGTTCTCAATTTTTGCAGTGATGTGTTATATAAATATTTAAGATGTGTTGAATCACTTGGAAATATGTATGCCATAAATATGTAGTTTGTTGTTATGTATTGCAGACGGAAACTGCCATATTCCCAGCAAATACAGGTGGAGCTACCAAGATGGCAGAGGAGTTGGGGGTTCCATTCTTAGGTAGTTTGCCATTAGACTCCCGCCTGGCTCGTAGCTGTGATGAAGGAACCAATTTCTTGATTGATGTACCAGATTCTCCTATGACAGTGGCATTCAACAAGTTGTTGACAGGTAAGAAGTTTTTGTAGGTTTAGTCACAAGGAATTTTAATGTGTCATGTATTTAAGAGTTTTGTTAATTAAATTCAAAGGGGTGTAAAGAGGATACATAATATAAAGCCTCTTCTACATTATCACGAACACCACCTTCATGCAGTACACAAGTTACTGTAAATGAGGTTGTAATGACTGAGGAATGGCAGTTAACAATTACATTAGGATAAGAGAAAATGCTATAAAATTTATGTTAGGATAGATTTAAGTTCAGATATGTAATGGTGAAAGTTGCAATGAATTGGTTAAGCAGAGTCGACTATAAATGCAGCTATCACTCGGTCACTGTAGGTTGGTCATCCTTATCGGAGTTTTGGTGTGTGTGTATATGTACATTGCTGAATTTAACTCACTGATATATGTCAGAAGGGGTAATTTGGATGTGGTAGCTAGTTGTCAGTAATGTGAGTGAATGATCTGTATTATGACCTTGAAAGAGTCAGCTGTTTAGAGAATTACTGATATGGCTACATGTATTCATTTTACAGATGTTGTTAAAGCATGTGAAGAATCCAGAAACAACTGATTTATTATAACATGAAGTCATCTATTAAGTTTTCATGGATGTGTAAATAATTTTTTTATTTGTACTGAACCTCACAAATATTGTTAGTGAATCCATAAAACAGTTAAATTATATTTTTCTAAAGTATGGAGTTTGGGGTTGGACTTTTCAGTATAGCAGTTGTCATGTAATGTAGTTGTTACAAATGTATCTGAAGAATTACCACCTCTCCAGCAAGAGTTGAAGAGTACTCTGAAGGTGGAGGCAATATGTACCTCTGAAACACTGGTAACCACCTACAAGACTACATGACATCACAACTCAGAAGACCACTACCAGCAACTTCACACTTCTGAGAACTTCAATTCTCAGTGCCTGTATATGACCTATATTTGTATAGTACAAATAAAAGTGTAATTAATATATGTAAACTGTATGTATTCCACAACAGGTTGCATCTTAGTAATATTCTGTTATGTATTCCTCTTGCATGCATTTGATAGTTCTAGAGAAACAAATAGCTCAGCATTTGAAACTATTAGTTGTACTACTCCATAACTCAGACCTTACTGTTGTAATCTTTGGTTTTTTAGGTGTTTACAACTGAAAGTTACAAAAATATGCTTACTGAATTACTGAACAGATTTTTGTGAACCCTGGTATTGGGGATATTCCCCAAAATTTTATTCTGGTTAAAATCAGACAACAGTAACAGGCACTTTATGTGAATACTTCCATTAATTTCTGCTCGCAGAAATGACTGGGTGTGGTATTCCCAGGCTACCTTGGTTACAATGGTTACAGTAGGAATTTCCAGTGAACCACACAACTGTGTGGAGAATCCTCTGTGATTACGTATCACTCAGACAGGCACCAGATACCCCACATTCACAAAGGTCTTGGACCACAGAGCTCCTCATGTTCACACCCTGAAAGGATGTATCTGTGGGGGAGTGGTCATGGTGATACAAGGCTTAGGGTTGTCCATGTTGAGTAATTCTCACCACACATCTCATTCCAAGGTCCATGCTGCCAGATGTACTCCAATGATCAATAAAGATTGTCTTCAGGCACTTTATATGATGTAGTTTTGTTGGAACCAATCAGAAATCTTCAGGTTCTACTCCTGATGGGAGATAATCCTAGACAAATGATATAAGGAGCACACAGTAGAAACCCCATAATTTTAGAATGAAAATGTTATGTATATACAGATATTAATATTGGCATTTCCAAAGATTTGAGGGAGTGGGACAGTTCATATATAATAAAACTTTCTAAAACTTCCATTCCAAAAATAATTTTAAGTTCATTTTTAAAATTATCAGTATTTATTAAACTCAACACAGAGTCAGAAAAATGTGGCCAAAAATAGTAAAATTTAATATGCTAATGCCAGGATGTCATTTTCATTACACAAATGAAACTACAACATATTACAAAGTAACATTATCTGTTTATAAGCAATGTCTATTTACAGAAAGATTATTATGTCTTGAATGATCTCTATGACTGTGGTTTTGGTGGTACCCACGCTTGTATCTTGGGTCTTGTAGTGCTGTATGGCATATATGCATGTTCGGTACCAGACATATTCTCTATATGATCAGCCATCCATCGGTACTTTGGTCGATTTGGATCCTGTAACAGAAATGTTGCAAAAAGAATGCACACATGGAATTAGAAGAATGAAAATATGTAGAGAATTAAGACATTTAGTACTGATCACAAATGTGTACATTTCCCCATCATCTCTTAACAATATAAGCTATTAACAAGTATTCTTGGATCTTCAGTATTATCTTGGGAATATACTAACAAAAATATATTTCATTAAGTAAAAACCAGCATGGAAAGTGTTACAAATATGCTGGAATACAGAAGTATTTAAGCTGTCTGTTTTACAAAATGTACTTCTGAATATGACGTGGAACAAAAAATGTATTCACATTTCTGTACTTTTCCCTTTAAACTACAGTGATTCTCTTGGGATAACAGTCCAGGAACTAGAATTACTTCATGTTACAATTCATGCCCTTTTCATTCAACATGGAACTGCATACCAGATCATGCCAGCACTTTTATTTTTAGAATTATAGCCTTTGTGCTATTTCTCAGCTTTGTGAAAAAGGAGAAAACTGATTATGCAGGTTTTTGACATACACAATTGTTACGTGAGTAAATTAATAAAAAGCTGGTAAAGGTTTAGTTTTTAGTGATGGATTAAACAACACATGTTTTCATTCATTCATACGTAGAACAGTAAAATTAAATGTATTTTCATGCAGCTTACTACTAATATTTTACTTTGTATAGCTCACATTGTAAAGAGAAGGGGAAGCAAAGTGAGAATTGGGATTCCATAAACATGTGCTTTTTGGTACTTCTGAACATTATTGCTCCTTATCACATAATATTTCTCAGTAGACAGATGCAAATTAGCATTTTGGCATTTTACCTTGTGAGGTGGTAAATCTGTTTTATAATGAAGCCATCCAAACCACTCTGCAGGAACTTGGCTTCCGTCGTAGTCAAGGTACACTTTATCAGCATACTCCACCCACCGATTGCGTCCTTTAAAAATTGGGAGGCGATTATTAAAGGTCTTAAAATGAACAACTATTATGGCAGCATGATTTTAAAATTATGAACCTTAGTTGCGTGTAAATCCTTACTAACCGTAGAAGTACATATTATTTTCGTAATATTTGTTGCCGTATTTATCCTCGCCTACCAGGGTACCCACTTTGACATCGTCCTGCCTGGAGACAGAAAAAATAATACCATTATTCCACATCTTATGTCGTGTTGTTATTAAAGTAGTACATGTCACTTTTTATACCTAAAGAGCTTGTACAGAGTCCCAGAGATTCCTCCATTTGTTTTTATTATTTTAAATAAAGTGCCCAGTTTATCCAAAGCAAGGAGTTTCGACATTTTCTTTCTACTGCGAACTCCGGAAACAGCTGAAAGTCGTAAATACATTTAATTACAATGTATATCGATATCCAGGGTATGCAACACGACGTGTCTAGCATTTGGGTTTAGTGCGTAAAGATTGTTTTGTGTTACATTAATAAGTAAATAATACTTTGGTGGGAATTATCAGCCCTGAAGATGGAAGCATCATGTTTATTTCGAAACTTGATGTTTACCCACACGAGACATATCCAACAGAAAAACACCAATTATAAATAATAGATATGTTGGTATCAAGATAGTCATTCAAGATTTTGGTGATCTGTGATTTTGGTTTGACATGGTCAGAGGTGAAAACGCAATTTAAATTTGTTTTAAAAGTGTTGCGGCAGATTGGTCACTCGAATGGATTTGAAAGTGGCATACCATCGGATATGATAGAATAATGACATGATTGAAAGAAAATTATGTTTTTTTCTCTCTGAAAGTCGTAATATAGCATCGTAACACTAGCAGTCAAGAACTAGGGTAGGTTTGCCTAGTGTGTAATTTAATTTAAAATTACAAGTTCTCATAAATTTTGCTTCTTTTGTAATGCGTTGCTATTGTGAACATAATTACTCGTTTATTTCCAAGTTTAAGATTGAAGTCTTGTGCTGCCTCAACAGCATTTGCATATTATTTCTTTATTGCACTTACATTTTTAATTTCCTCTTTTCTTGAACTCCATCCTGAACCAATTAAATCCAGTTCACATCCATACAAACTCTTTTCCTACTACCACTTACCAAGTGGCTGATTTACAAGAATTTCTCCCATCACAACTATGCAATGTCTTTGTTTCCCCTATCCATACTGATGTAAACAGTGGCTGACTGCTTTTCAAGTCACTTTTAGTCAAATACAAGACAATTTTACATCCTAATCTTTCCAGGAAAAACATTGAAGTGAAGAGAAATCTAGTAGTTATGGGACATTTGGCATCCGTAATGGTAGTCTTGGTATTGGAGATTTTTAACGTTTGAGTTCTGTTAGTAGAGAGTTGTCCTGTAGGACTGTATTCAAATAAATAACAAAAATTCTGCCCTCTCTGTATTATTTGCTGACAGTTTTGTCACAGAGTTTCTAAAAGTAGAGGCTTTGGGAGGCAGTGATTTGACATCAGCATCAAATTCTTGTATGTTGGTTTTTGCAACAGGAGTTCAGTGTGTAACTTTGGCTTTTGGATGAGAGCCACATCAAATATTTTGTTTAATGCATGTTTCAGGCTGCTTAATATAAGACCTCCAGACATACCCTACCTCATACCTATCTTGGAAATGGCAACCACAATATTTGCTGTAATGTTGATGAGTACCAAATATGCAACATGGCTCTCACCCAAAATCTGAAGTTATATATCATCATCAAAATTTGATTGATATGGTCTTGGATAAAGTACAGAGAATCAGGATGATAAAAGTGATTATGTTACAGTGTGGTGGCAGCTTGCTTCTATTCACTCAAGATCTTATTTTGTTGTAGTGAAATAAGTTTACAAACAGATATCTGTAGTTATACTACAAAAGTTAATGCAAGTATTATTTCAGGTACTGGATATCTTCTTATGTTTCCTGAACAAATTTGAATTGGTCATGGGATTTGATTTATGTAGATGAAAGCGAGGATAATGGCCTTCCTTGAAGTAGGTCATATGTACCTCCTACCTTGTCTCATTTCTGTATGTTCATTACAACTTTGATTCAGAGTGCTGATCTTTAATAATATGCACCATCAATGTGTGGAAATGCACATTAGCCATCTACTTATGACAGGAAGAACTAGGAAGCTGAACACAATTGTATCACACAAGATGATGCACTTCTTAAAATTATAGATATTTAGATGTACTTAATTTTTTATTTTAGAACTCTTGGGAGCTGTGTTGGTTTAGTCAGTGAAGTGAGGGCTAATGAGCTGAATTGTTAATTTATTCTAGGGTTATTTACTCAAGCTGTTTCAACTGAAGATGTTACATAACATCAAATGAGAAGGGTGTAGAATACATTTCTAGTTTTATAATCAAGAGCAGACTCTTTTTAATTTAGTTCTTCTTGTTAGACTTGGTTGCAAGTTCAGCTCTGAGTTCACCCTCAATTTCAAGCTGTCGAGCTTTCCTGCGTCCTATGGGTGTCTTTTGGAACCACTGTAGGAATGCTTCGTCTTCCTCCTTGTAGACAGGTTCCAACTTGCACAGTGAATTGATGAGTTCAACATGGGTTAGGGGCTGCACTCTAAGCTGCAGCACTCGCTTACATGTCATCACTTCCTTTATTACTTCAAGTATTGCTCCAACTGTATAGCCATCTGATACCTGAAACATTTTGCATTATGTTAAATTTCTTTAGATTCAAGGAGTTTTGAATGGAGATAAGACCATGAACATACCTACAAATAAAATGTTTCTCTATTTGTAAAATGTAACAATGTAGTGATGGTGTGAAACATTCTGGATATGTTTGAAAACTTTCAGGCAGTGGAAATTATGCACAGAAATAAATTAGGAACTTGTATAACACTTTAAAGACCAGTAGTAACTGTATATGCCACCTGCCTTTACAGTCAGTAATTCTGCATTTTCCATCTATGTGTTTTATGTGATTGTCATTGTAAACAGATTATTTCCCTAAGTGTTGTGTTTTCTGTGACGTATGGACTGAATTATTATTATTATTATTAATATATTATAGCATTATTTACAAGCTTCAAAGGGATAATTATTAACATGTAATTTCTGCTAGCTTGTCTGCCTCTGCAAGTGATTGAACCCTGGTTATCCAGTCCATAGACACAGTTGAAACAGTGTATTAAGTAAATAAGAATGAATTGATCATTCTTTTTCAATATTCAGCTTCAAAGAGGTTTCATCACCAAAATTCTATATGCATTTTCTGTCCCTTTATCTGCGTTGATCAAGACAAGTGTCATACACTGGGGCAGTGAAATGACAAATGTTGATAATTTGATTTTGAAGTCAGCATATCAAGAACCACTTAAAGAGAGAACAACATGCTGACAGACTATCCCAGCCCTCTAACCTATTTTGTCTATTTTGCTAAATTTATAAGTTCATACACACTGTGTAAATTTTGCAGACCTTTGTCATGGCTGCAGTGTCAAACTGCCGGCTGACACCACCAAACTGAAACAGCAGCTCCTTCCATAGAAATGAGAGGCTGCTATAATCAGGACGTGGGATCAGTATCATCTTGTTATATGTCTGGGCAAGGGCTTTCTGGTCACAATCCCATGGACATCGAGATACCCCAATGAGCAGAACCTGCAAGAATTTACAACCATTGTAAGTTAGATAACATATTCATTGTATCTCAATTCCTGAATTCAATGTCAATTTTTATCCTTCCCACACAATTAACAAATCAGTATGTTGTGAATTTTGGTAATACCAGTTCCCCTTCAGGCTTCATAATGCTATACAATCTATTAGTATCACTGAGTTGACCTGTACACATTATTGTCATCATGCCAGAAGGGTGTATCAACAAAATTACTGATCTACTGGAGATTAAATTCATATGCTTAATTTGGTTCAAAATGTATGTGTCTGGATCTCTGTGTACAGCAGCAGCCCTTTTGGTGTGACATACATCCCACTGTTTTGTGTTATTAGACCAAATTTCTCTGATTGTATGTCTAGTTGGTTTTCCCTTGATTCTGTGTATGCAGCTATCTGTCTTTGGACTGTTCCATTATGTTTGCATACAAATGTTCACATGTAGTAATTAATACCAGGACTTTTAAATCTTATTGTGTTTATAATTGTTCATTATTACAGTATCACACTGCTTTATAGTGTAAAACCTGCATTACATATAAAGTGTATCCATTTTGATGTCAAAATAACTGCAGAAAAACCATATAAATGTGAAATATGTGTGGGATATTCATATTCGCTGGATATAATATTCCTACCTGGTCATCTTGACTGATGCCTTTTGCTATTTTGGGAAGGTCCTTCTTCAGTCGTTTGGGGTCTGTCTTGTCTGATTTTGGGACTTTCTTCAAAAATGTCTTTTCAGCATTATCTATGTAGATTACTGATGGCTGGAGCAAGCGGGATACCTTGTTAACAAGGTGTACCTGTTCATGTTCTCAAGGCATTAGTCACAGATTACAAAGGTGAGCATGATTTTGTTCAGAATGTGTTGGATTATGCTTTATTCTCTAGAATGTAAGTTTCAGAAATATAATTCCACAATTTTAGAGAATACAAAGCCTGTCTCTTATAGGTGAACAGCCTCTGTAAAGGACAGATTTTGATGGTTCAGGTAAATAATTTATTTATCATTGCAATTTAAATTAGTTGTAGAATATAAACGTTTGTTTATGTATTTAAAAAAATAATTTTATGAATATAATTACTGAAATAAGTGCTAGAATTTGTTATAACCACTAAAATAAGTAGCAGTATTCCTTAACAGCCATTGAAATAAATACTGGAATATTTTATATCACAGTTGAAGTAAGTATTGTTAAGTGGTTATCCTAATAAAACTAAATACTAGAACTTCTATCACAGTTTAAATAGGTGCTAGAACATTTAATATCATGGAAATAAATACTACATTATGTTAATTACTACTGAAGTAAGTTTTACAATGTTTCGCTTGCTGAAATATGAACTAGAATTTCTGCTACCAATGAATAAATGCTATAATCTGTATGATAGAATTGAAGTGATTTTTTTATCAAAGTGAAGTACTCATTCTTATCGCAACCAAATTAAATGTTATAATTGTTATTCTGTGTGCCGGTGGCGGGCTTTGGTGTTGTCAGTGTTGAACCTGCAGGTTCTGCTATCAGGGAGTTAGTTAATTGTTATTCTGTATTTAACAATAGCAGCAGTAATGACAATGTGAACACCAACAACAACATCGACTATGACGACGACGATGATATGTTGGTAACTTTTAATATGCACCCATTCTGTATAAAGTCATTTGATTTTCAGTAATATGTTGAAGAGTTGAACAGCAGGTCATGATTTTGGGATGTTATGTAGAAAAATGGTAGTGAGAAGGATCTTAATGAACCAATAATGTAACTCACCAGCATAATAAGTCCAGATTTGCCAGGATACTTTCCAACAATGTTTGCAGGTGAGAGGTCAAACAGTACTGAGCCAGTCTCTGTACACACTGCATGCACCAGCATATCTTTGCCACTGCCATGTGATCCTGCTAGCAACACTGATTTGACTAGTGGTGCTGTCTGGTGAATTGTTTTAGATCCCAGTGGCAGGATGCAGTATTCCAATATGACCTGACGTATGTCTCCAAGTGATGGGAGTGGGTCTTTTCCTTGTTTACGGAGATCATGTGTTGCATATGAGTGCTCCCCTCGAAATTCTGACAGCTGAACTTTTGGGTACTTGCGAATTATACCATTAGTAATGAGTTCTTCAAACAGAGAATCTAGTGTTCGGTCTGGTGTTAGATCCTTTTCTTTTTTCTTCTTACTCTTCTTTCCACTTCGGCCTTTCTTCTTGCTAGCTTTGCGTACTTTCTTTCCTTTACTTACAAGATCACGTGCCAAAGCGGCCTGTAATATCTCTAATTCTCCTCGCAACAACTGATCCACTTCTCTGAAATCATTGATTTATTGATAGATTGGTTCTCTAATGGTATGTGATAATGGTTTAATTCAATGCATAACAATTTTGTCAGCCATTGTCCGTTGTCTGAAATATATTTGATTTACATGACAATTTGCTTCCCCTTCAGGTGATTAGTTATCATAAAATTAGCTAACTCAATGGAGCAGAGTCCTTTTTGAGAAGCTAATAGCATGTTCACTAGTCAAAAAATTTCCTGCATTTTATGCATTCAAAGGTTCATTACTGTATTCACAAGAGCATGCCATTTGTGATAAAAACCTGTAGCATGACTTCCTTCAGAGGGGATCTTCATTTTAATATTATTCTCCCATCTACTCATGAGTCCCCAAAGTGGAAATCCACAGAATAATTTGGGAGGCTAACTGATGCTCCATTCAAGATTTGAACTGACTATCTCCCACATACAGTTTACACGGGTTACGTTACAGTATGTTTGTTCCTTTGGTAGAATTTGAGACCTTGTCATGAAAGTGAGGAGAACAGAACATACATACAACATTCTGGTAAGAATATCTCAATGAAAGAGACTGCTTGAGAGATGTAGGCATGGATTAGAGGAAACTATTACAATGTTTCTTTATGAAATAGAGTGTAACATATTGAACTTGTTTAGGATAGGCTTGTTGGTAGCCTTCTGTGAACATGGTAATGAACCTTCAAGTTCAATAAGAACAGTGAATTTTTTTACCAGTTGGTCAAGGAAGACTCTTTGCCTTGAAGGTAGCAAAGAGGACAAACATGACTATGTGGTTCAGGTATCATAATTAAGATAGGACAAATTCTCTTGATACACTACCTCCGCAATTCAGCTTCCAGTTGAGCTGTCTTCTGTTCTCGAATCATCTCTATATCAGCATGCTGCCATGGGTTTTTTGACTCATCTCGATTACGCCAGATTTCTTCATATTCTGAATTGGCTGCCTGCAAGTCTCCCAAGAAATTAGATAGTTGCATCTTGAAGCCTGGATCTTCTTCCTCCTCATCTTTCTTCTTCTTTCCTTCTTCTTTATCTTTCTTCCCCTTCTCTTTTTTCCCCTTACCATCCCTGTAATAAAACATAAGAACATAGAAATTATCTTACAGATGTAGAAGAAAATACACATCAGACTAAAACATGGCCATTGGGTCCTTTGTTACCACAGCATGGTGCACTTTGAGGTTGTGGCTGTAGGAGGAGGCCTTCAGGTATGGAGGATAGCAAGAAGCTGTCATGGACAGTCAACAAGGAGTGATTCATCAACTTGGGGGGTTGGATGGGGGATTAATTAATAATTTCTCACTGTAAAAACCAGTATGCTATAAAATGTTATGCAGGGCCTCAGATTTGGACAGATTCTTTGCAGTGAGCTAAGAAATGGAAAATGAGTATGAGATTTGGATCTTGGAATATCAGCAGTCTCTATAGGTCAGTTTCACTGAAAATAGTAGAAAGAGAATTAGTAAAACAGAAATTAGATTTATTGTTTGTACAGAATGTGAGATAGGACAAAGGTGGCACTGAAACAGCAAATTCTTCCACAAACTTAATAATTTTATTTTGAACAATAAAGAACTGCCAGGGAATGTGATAGGAGAATAAGTAAACCATGTCTCTGCACAGCTGAATGGGACAAGAGCATTATCACCTTCCAATTTAATATTGGAGAATTTTGTCAAAACTCTCAAACCACTTCAATTTTAATTTAGATTGGATAATTTCAAAGAACATTTAATGTAATGACATAAATACTTTTTTGAGACTATCTCATGTACTTGTGAAGAAGTTGCATAAGTTATTTCTTAGCCTACTTGAATAAACTAAAAATTAGTTGCATAAATGGATTTTAGCAACTTCATTGAGACTGATAAAAATTAATCGTTATAACCAAAGATGATGTTATGTGCAGTTCGGTTGAATTTTTGTTATGTATTTGGCAATACCTAACTTTCTTTTGTCTTGGCCAGAATAGTGTAATATGCACTTATTTATGAAGAAGTAGATACAGCTAGGTGTATTAATTATTGAGGAATACATACAAAATTCTGCCCATCATTCTTCTCTGTAAATTAACTCCTTATATACCTATAGGTGAAATTATTGTGGACCATCATTATTAACATTTTTGAATAAATTGTGTCCCAAATCACCCCTCAGTATATGGAGGACTAGTTGTGAAACACTTGGTATAATTTTCTCTAATCCTTTATGACTTCATCTTCGTGAGTTCAAATTTATTTTTTTGCATTTTGTTCTTAAATGTCCTTATGGGGTTTTTCTTAATCTGATGCAATGTCATTTTGGGGCTGCATTTTAAAAATAGGACGGGTACAAGTAAATGCTCTCTGATAAATGTGTGTACCTGGAAGATGAGGTGGTTGTTTTACTGATTTCACTTTCTGCAGCCTGCCTAGTGAAGAACAAAGTTGAGCCTCCTGATTCCTCAGAAGGAATATCAGGGAATTTTCCTGTTTCATTCCAGTAGTCTCTGATCCAGCCTCTTAACTACAGAAAATGTAAGATATCAGTCATATGAAGTACTACATCCTCACAACAGGTTTAGACAAATGAAGCAAAGCAGGAGACAAAGAATTGTAAGCTGTGAATATCAAAGGCCCATTAATACTTGACACCATTTTTTGATGTGTCAATTTCTGGTGCCATACTTTCATGTAATTATGGAATGATGTAGCCATTAATATTATTTTGCATTGTTATGTGGTTGTTGAGTAATGTGGGGTATATAATGAACATAAGAGCAATTGTGTGATGAAAACACTATTTAATATTAGTGTCTTCAAATATACAGCTGTATTAAGCAGGGTACCCCACTTAGGTGATAAGACACAAGGTACAGTCCATCAGTTATCTTACTAGACTGATGCATTTGTTTAATGTAGCACTTGCCCCATCTCTGAAATGTCATTCTATTTTATTATTTTACTAGACGATGGATAATATCCAAAAAAACTTTTTATTTAAATAAGTCACCATTTTCACGAACTTTTAGATTTGTTTAGAGATTCAGTTTAGTCCTTTATTAATTTGTTACACTTAACAGAAAAAGGCACAGTTGCTCCAAGACTGTATCGATTTACAACAAAAACAGTGAAATATTTGGTAAGAAGAATGTTTAATCGTCTGAATTGTCCAAAGGGACTTGTCAATTAATGCCATACCTACTCTGCACACATGTGCTAGGGAATAGAACATCCAGATAGCATGAAATATCTTGTGAGTTGAGGACTCTGGTAATCAGTCTACATATAATTTTCTTAGGTATGACACTGCTTGGTTTGAAATTAATTGGTGAATGTACTTTACTTTATCAGGTGCAAACAAAATTTTGAAGTATGTACATATGCTACTGTGAGTATCATCATGAGATGGATGATATATCTCAGCTGCCTTGACTCCAGATTCTTACATAGGTTCCTAATGGCAGCAGAAATGGCCTTACCATGTCCTCTGAAACTGCAGCCACTGCCTTTCTTCTGTCAGAGGGAACTTCCAGTAATACAGTGAAACCTCTATCCATCGTTCCCGGAACTATCGTTTTCCCGGATGCATCGTCCGTTTTGTTCGGTCCCGAATACATCCCATATAAAATAATGTTACATTTTCCCGCTTCTATCGTTCCTCGAACTATCGTTTTATCGCATCGATCGTTCAAAAATCGTAGTCCCGGCCCACAATTTTCCCGCAATGATCGTTCCTGAGAATTTAAAATGCTGGGTTTAGAGATAAATTAATACCGAAAGACGCACAATGTTTTTGGAATAAACAGTAGCGGTAACCTGTTATGTCGCCCAACCAGCACATTCTTTTGGAATGAGGGTCAGCGGTGCAGGGGTGATAGTTGGAGTGAATGGCGGTGCCCATTGTCAGAAATTTTACGATTTTAATTAGGGTGCACTCATATTTCGTTCCAGCGATGCCAGATGGCATGTGCAGTGTGAATTTCTTCACAAATGCTTTTATTACAAGTACAAAGGAAAGGCTGGTGGCACTTTTCATTCTTCTGGTTCAGGGTCTTCTACAGCTACGTTTCGTTGAGTTCGGCAGTAATAGTATTTCCATTCTTCCTGTTATTGTCCGCAAAGGGGGTTGGAGTGGTGAGGAAGAGGAAGACGACGAATGCGAGCCCTAAGCATTGCCGAGTTTTGCCGAAGCACACGCTGCATTGGCGAAAGTGAAGTCGTTCTTTTACGCGCTTAATATTAGTGAACGTGACGAGGAAAACATTTTGAACGTGGAAAGTGTTCTGTTTGGTCTAAAACGTAAAGTTTCGACAAACCAGTTGCCCATTTAAGACTTTTTTGGTAAAAAGAAGTAACTTTGAAAGAGAAACATTGTTTTTTTTTAAAAATTTAATGCTTTCCCGCATCTATCGTTTTCCCGCATTCATCGTTTTTATTTCCCACCCCCGCCGAAAACGATGCATCGAGGTTTCACTGTATTTAGCTAAGTGAGGAGTAGTGCAAATGCTACCTTTTATACGCAAGATGGTACCTTTCTCTTTTTTTTTCTTACAATACTTTGATTTAAGTTAAACTACAGTTTTAAGATTTTACTACGTCATATATTTTGTTCAAAATACACACATGTTCATCAAGTATGCTGTAAATTGTCTTCTTACCTTAAAGTTATTACATATTGTTCCTTGGGAAGTATGACCAGTCAATAACTAATGTGTATCCTTGTTCTAAACATCTTCAGTGTCAATTTCTTCCAGTCAGTTAACAATCAACATTTGAGTATGTTTATGATCTTGTGACATATTTCATACGTTCTGTTGTATCGCTGAGTGAATTAAAGTGTCTAGCAAAATGTTTATATAACCACAGTTCTAGGAACTTTATAAGAGATGCTTACCTCATCTCTGATCTCTTCCTTCATTTGCCCTCCTCTACAGGTTTTAATGTGTTGCTTCGCAGAAACAAGCATTTGTTCATATTCAACCTGGTGCTTCATCTGCTGTTTGTGTCGTAGTTCCTTCACCTGACAAATTAAATTATTGTATGAATATACCATTGTATCTGCACAATGATGTTAAAGAGAATATATTTAGGAAACAAAATTGCCATCTACTTTCTAAAGCACTAATGGTGAAGATAAAAGTATAAGCATAAAAGACAGTTATTAGCCAGTGGTTGTGCATGGTTGTGATACATGATGGCTTATGCTGAAAAAAATAAAACAGATTATAAATGCTTGAATGAAAGTTGCTTAGGAAAATATTTGAACCTAATAGGACTGAAGTAAGTGGGCAATTTGTAAGTATCTTGATTTATGCAGGTCTCATAGTATTAGTACTTCAGAAAAATCAAAGATATTGTGTTAGGCTGGGAATGAGGGAAGCTTCTTGGTAGTAACTGCTTAGAGTACAAAGAAGGAAATCGGATAGCTTTAAGGCAGATCTTAGGAAAATACATTAAGAATGGTATGTGGATTTAACTGGCTCAGGATCATGTTTATTGATAGGGCCTGGTATTAATGGTTTATTTCAGGTTCTGTTATGACAATGTTGATTCAAGCTGAGGAAATTGAAGAATATAAATATATTCATGCACCAAGCTGGTTGGTACAGTAGTAATGCCTGTGGCATACATTTATGAGGCATCAGGTACAAGTCCTTATTGGGAATCTAATAACCTGAGGTTTTCATGGATTTTCTTTTATCCCTCCAAGGAAATACCAATTTAGTATCTTAAAATAGATAGAATTGCTTCATTTCACATCCCAGTTCATCATTCAAGCAGCAACAGTAATGCTGTAGACTTGTGTTTGTCAGTTAAGCTTTTGCTTAGTTTGTTTGTGTTTCTTTCTGTAGTTTTCCTCACTTTCTTCAAATAAATGATATAATGCCATTAAATAGGCCATAACCACTTTCTTCAAGATCCTTACCTTCACAGTACTGTTAATACAAAAATTATTCACTGCATTATTATCAGTGCTTATACCATATCTCATTTGACACTGTTAATCTTGGCAGTTGATACAGCACAAAATAACTAACTAAATAATCAACCATATTCATGCATAATGAAACATGTAATAAACCTCTTCAGCTTTTTGACGAGCTTTAACATGTGTGAAGCTTGGCTGCAACATTCCAATAAGCAGCATCTCCTCCAACTTGCGGCGCTTAATTTTATGACGTGCATTATATCCACGCCATGTTTTCTGTATCTTGGTAGCAGCAAGTGAGCCATCAAGAACTTTGCTCTTAGGAACGTCTGCAGTCTTAACCTTCTCTTTCATTAGTCTGATTTCTTTCATGAACTGAAAACGTAATCGACCCTGCAACATCAAGATATAAATTGAAATTAATAAATGCAGAACAGTAGGTCTTGAGATGTTTTTTCTTGTATTTGTACAGGAACTATTATAAATATTGCTAAAGTACAGAAGTTTAATTTTTATATTGGTGGCATGTTATAGTTTTAGCTGTCAACTCATTTTGACTGACTGACATTTACAGTATGATGGTGGTCCTGCAGTTTTACTTAATTTGACAGTGAGGTATATTACTGAAGTGGAGGGTTTTATTTGTTAATTCATATGTTTTTGCAGTATATTGTATTAGTCACTTCTACAATTAAGATACACCTGTCGTGCACGTTCGTGAATCTGTATGAGGCGAATTGCTTCTTCTTCAGTCATTTCTTCTTGTGCTACCTCTTCTTTATAGAAACCCAGTTTCTTCAGTATATTGTCCATTGTCCTGTTCCTTTTCTGGATCTCCTCTTCTCTTTCTCTTCTGTAATAGTTTGGTACGGTGATCTCTGCCTCCGTAGGTGAGAGATTGAGCTTGAGTAGAACATCGTCATAATAGCTAAATTCTGACAAGTCCAGGTTTACTAATTCATGTTTTAGTTCTAGTACTCTTCCAATGCATGCATCTAGTAACTTACGAATCACAAGCCTTTTCTGAGGATGTATAATCTGGTCATAGCATTGGTCTAATTTGTTAACAGAAGTTATGTATTTTACATACAATTCACTGACAAGTGTATGTGCCACTTGTTTGTCTTTTTCTTGTGGAGCTGCATGGAGAACTGTATCAAATTGTGATGCTTCATTTATAGTCTTTTGTGCTTCAGTCCATAGATTATTATATGTGATATGTGACATCACAGATGTCACTATATTAAATCCAGTTGTTGAATATTTTAATTTGATTTTTTTTATGATAATGGCTTTAAGATTGTGTTCTTTTGTTTTGTAACAAGTTTAATATGTGTGACATAAAACTCACAACAATAAAAATTGGAAGTTTTCGGAACTTTGTTTTATTCGCCCGTCGATTAAATATATATACCTGTATAAGCAATTTGTTGCCATAGCAACAAATTAGGCTCCTACAGCAGCAGAGACGATTGTTAACGTCTTCAATGGTCTTTCCACAACATGCTGGATTTCTGTTGCAGTGGGAAATTGTGATTTATTGTAGTGGCTCTCGTGCTTGACAGAATATTGCCTGCAGAGTACGGGTTGTCAAGGGAAAGAACAAAAATTCGTATTCGTTCTGTATGTGTTTTATCCGAAGTTATTTTGTAGTTAAAGAATTATGAGATTGCTAGATTAAAAAGAAGGAAAATGGCATCAGCATTAGAACAGTTCGTAAACAATGTTCGCACATTGTCGGCCCAAGGTAGTATTAACGTTGGAGATTGTGTATTCAAGATGAAAATATTTCATGCTTAACCTCAAATTATGGTTCGTGTCAGCAGGATTATATTGGTTCGATTTGGTTTTATGTAATTGGTTGGAATTATAAGCATTGGTTTTAATATGTAATTCTTCTTCCATTGTTTCCTTTCTATTATTATACACTATATTTGTATAGAAATGAATGTTTCGAATTATTGCTGATTTAGGTATGCTATTATCACTGAAGATTAGTGTGTAGTTGTGACCCTAAAACTATAAGGCATACTGAAATTTGAAAATTTCATATCTCTAAGTTACCATCCCAAGTTTTTTAAAAGTACTTTTTGTTTTCCCGAAAGTTTGATACCTGAGGGCTTGTAAGCATGAACAAAAATTGAGTGCAGATTAGGGACTAGGTATGGCGAATTTGTTTAAAAAGACTAAACAAATTGTAAATTAAGTTTAGCTGCTGAATAGTTAGTTGGGTATGTTGGAAGATATATCTACAGCATTAGTATTGAATAATTACATTATAGTGGGAAAAAAAAAATCATTCTGGATTGTTTGGTTTTTGGACCTTGTCTTATGTTATAAAACACACTATATCGTACTGATGGGCACAGTTTGATTAAAGGTAGAAAATGTCTAAGCTTCAAGAATAACATTCTCCATCAGATCTGTGCATTATGCATTATTGTTAAATTGAAGGAAAGAGTAATTCTGCTTTTAAACTACCTTGTGTTTGTGAATGTGAATAAGTAACATTGTGTTCATTGTGTTAACCCTTAAAAGGGATGTGTGCAGTATTGACTTTTTTATGTTTTAGTACTAAATCAGAGAATGTGGGTGCTTCAATTTACAGGTAATTTTCGAGAGTTATGTGATCTGTTAAATAAATCAACAGAAGTGCTAATGAAGAATGGCCAACATCTGGACAATGTTCTAGAAACACTGGATTTACAGCAGCATTCACTAGGAGTTCTTGCAGTTCTTTGTGTTAAGTTCTCTCTTCCTGTCCCATCAGCAACGCCAGACCACCATGAACTTCTCTTTGCCCAAGTCCAAGAATTCATAACTGGATGCAATGGAGAGCAAGTACGCTTTGCGCCAGACACCTGTAAGCTACTTTGAGGGATTCCCCATTAATAGTTTATGGTTGTTTTATATATTATACTTTTTAGACCTTAAATGTTAATGTGTGGGATGAATTAGTTGATGCAATAGTTACCACCATCGTAGTACTTAAATGGCTGTGAAAGTTTGTTCCTCATATTGAGGGATGACTACAGATTCAGGATGTTTAAGAACGGTGCTGAGGAGAAAATATTTTGACCTATGAGATAGTGCAGAAAAATATGGTGGGGAACAGTTTGTATTCTTAATGGATGATTAAATTAAATAGAGGAACTATATTATGTTTTGTAATATATTTTATATTAAAATGGGACTAGGAGAAATAGGCTGTGAAGATGTGAAATGGATTTAACTATTTTAGTTGCAATCTTAGGATATGGTCCACTTGCATACTTTTGTGATTATGGTGATGACAGTATGGGCATTTCTTGGTCAGCTGAATAACTATCAGCTACTAAAGAAAGACCCTATGCTGTGAGATTAGTTAACATTTCGGGATTGCACAAAAATTCACTATCATAATTTTGAAATCATTTGTATAAGCCTTATAACTAAACAGTTTTATGCTAAATGGTACAACTCATTTAATCTCAATTAATTTGTTTGGTAGATGCCGAATTATGCCATCTGTTGACCCACAGCTTGGCTGAATTGAAGGTGCCACTAAGAGGCATTGACTTGATAGGACGAGCAATCCATAAGATTCAGCTGTTCGATTCACAGCTCACCTCAGTACATGCAGATCTGTGCCAGCTTTGTCTCCTTGCAAAATGTTTCAAGCCAGCACTAGTGTTCCTAAACACAGACATCACTAGTATAAGTCAAGAGGTATTGAATATAACTTAGTATCAGATTCTGTGTTGTGATTACTGCTTCCATAGTTAACACACTGACCGCTGGATATTTTTAATAAAAGGGAAGTACTGTAAGTTTAACGTTAGGACTGGTTTCACATTGTGTGTTTTGCCCAAGTTGCTACCCTGTGTCCACTGTTGTAATGTTGGGTTCTGATGTGCCTTCAGTGTTTATAATGTTTTGACTTACTGTCAGCTTTGAATTCACCTCTTCTAGATAACAGTCTCATAGTTGTTTTGAAACTTCTTAACCAGTTTACATGTAAGAACATGAATATTAAAATTAAACTGAAACAAAGAGTGTTTTAAATTAGGCAAGTGACTGACTGTCATGGGGTGAGAGCTAAATCAATCATCATCAGTTTAGTTGTGTTTCTGAGGTGATACACTTCATCTCATGAGTACAGTAAGTACCATGTCATACTGTTGATGCATGTGGTGTTGGACTTACGACATTGAGACATAATTTTAGCAGGGAGAAATGTGTTTGAAGTAAAAACAGTAATAAATACAAATATAGTAGTAAACATTTTTGTTGTTTAGTAATACACCGTAATTAGTTGCATGTTTCTTAACATTACAATGATTAGCAAACTTCAGGTCTGGTCTGTTTGTCTCTTTCTGTGTGCAGTGACACATCAGACTCACCCACCATCTTGTTCAATTCCATGTTCAGTAACAGAAGTAATTTCAGGTTTTAACTCTTATGCATGTGCAGTTG